CTCTCTCTCTCTCTCTCTCTCTCTCTCTCTCTCTCTCTCTCTCTCTCTCTCTCTCTCTCTCTCTCTCTCTCTCTCTGCGTCCGGTACTAACCTGTGAAGTTGGCGCCTTGATGCAGGTACGTTGAAGATGAAGCTGGAGCTATGGCGCCACAGGTAAGTCTCCCTGGCCTCCGCCAGCCATCTCTCTCTCTCACCTCCTCTACCCCTACTAGCACCCTGCGCTGAAGACTACTGCTAGCACTAAGCGACTCCTGCAGCGCTCCTCCAGAGTGCTGCTGCCGAATCCTGAAGACTACGACTGCCTCGGCCTCTGACTGCCCGTGAAGTGCATGGGAACTCCCTATGTACTACCTCAGCCTGCCTCCTGACTGCCTGCAGCTGCAGGGCGGGGCAGTCCAGGAGGCTGCTCTTGCCAAGGGCCTGCCGCTGCAGCTCCTGCTGAGGCTGGCATGGGAACAGGCCAAAAATAGCATGTTCCCGAAACCCTGGTTTGGTGCCTGGGTGTTAGGGCAGGTCGATCTTATGAGGGCCCGAAAGTGGCCCTCCGTTTCAGGCTGAAAAGACTCAGGGCCTGAAAGGCCCTGTTTTAGGCTGAAACGACATAGGGCCTGCAGGCCCTCGTTTTTCAGTCTTTCAGGCTGAAACGACACGGGGCCTGTAAGCCCTTGTTTCTAGGCTTTAAGGCTGAGACTGCGGGACAGGCCCTGCAGGCCCGTGTGGCTGCGCAGTATGCCACAGCCGGCCTGCTCGTGCAGCCTGGCTGGACTGGCCTGGGCCCGGAAGCTTCCGGAAGGCCCCAGGAGGCTGCCTGTGTACAGCAGCTACTGGGCTGCTGGGCCTCGTTCGCTTGGGCGCCCAACTGTCTCTGTATGAGGCTGCGAATCACGCCCAGGGCCTGCATTCTTTGGAAAAGCCCGGAGGGCCGTGGAAATGTCTTTGTTGCCCGGCCTGAGTTTCTCTCAACCAACTGGCGCGTCGCAACTGCCTGGACCCCAAATATGAAATTGACAGTCGAGGGCCTCTTACAATATGTTAGGCCCGCCTTCACTTAGGGCGGGCACCTCCGCCTTCACTTAGGGCGGGCAATGCTGCAAACAGGGCCCCTTAGGCCTACCGAGGACCCTGATCCTCGCACTATTGTATAAATTCCTTTTTTTTTCCACACGAGAGCCACAGGGAACCCTTTTAAGTGAACGAGGTCTCTCCTGCTCATCAGTGATTTAGGGATTCCCAAAACGAGGTTGTGTCCAGATTTCATGCCATCTCGTTGGTGCTGGCTTCTTTTTGGGCCCTCTCTCTCTCCATAGGTGTAGGAAGTGTGCCCACAGGGGGTCCTATAGTAGATCCCATCTGGCTAGATTCGCAGATTTGTTCTCTCTCTTATGTTTTGGGGGAGCGGGATTGATCGAAAGACCCATCTCAACTGGGGGGATTGTGGCCCCACGCAGTTGAGATGGATATAGGCGAATATCATTGTAGATCCAGAGACTCTCTGAAAGCTTGAAAGTCAGGGCATTAACTTCATCAACAAGGTATATGATCCCTAGACCCCCTCTTATCTTGGGCCGGGCAATCAGGTGCCAGGCTACACGCTTAACACATGAGATATCTTCATTGTCTCCTTTCCATAAGAAGTCAGTCGGGGATTGTTCTGCTGGGGGAAAAAAAAAAAAAAAAAAAAGAGAAAAAAGAAAGAAGGCAGTTGGTGCTTTTTTTTTGTTGAGAAACTTCACATCCCGGGGATCCTGCTGAACGAGGTGATAGGAGCGTCCCGGTGTTGAAGGCTCCATCTATTGGTGGGGAGCAACACCTGCTGGAAATCAGGTCCAGCATCCCAGTACGAGCATCAGTTCAATTGTCAGTTTTATACAGATAGTCGAGTCCAGTATCACTTGGGCCGCTCAGGCCCGTTCTACTTGTTGTGAGTCATGTTCCCCTTGAATCAGTCTCCCCGACTGTGTCTCTTGTGGCCCTTCGAAGGTCCTGGGTCGATGAGGAGGGGTGGGGATGGCTGATTCCTGCCCGGCATCAGGAGGTTGGGGGGGTAGGGGGTGGGCTGGCATTGCAGTGGCTGAAGGAGGACGTGGGGAGGAAGAGGATGAGGGGAGGGGCGGGGTTAAGGCGGGGGGTGCGCAGTGGTGACGGTGATGGAGGAGGGCCTGAAGGGGAGAGATACTAGGGATAAGAACATGTTCCAGGGAGGCTTTACTGACCGGTTTGGATTAGTATGAAGTTTGTAGGGTTGTATTCTACTTTGAAGTGTTGCCTGGGTAACCGCTCCCAGTGCTCCTCAGTTGACAGCCAGTGCTGCCATTGCAGGTCGTCCCCGCGGTCCAAGCGGCAAAATCTGTTGTTTCTGTCAGCTCATAAGGAGGAGAAGGATGCCCGAATGTCCGCTTTCCTTTCTTCATCCGGTTCTTTGTGTACCGTATATCACATATCCTTCCATGCCTCATAGGTCTTTATTGTGATGGTGTCTATTATGGTCGCTCGAGCTTCCATGTATCCGAAAGTGTGCTGCTTTCTTTCGAAGGTGCAGCGCATCCTCCAGGCAGTCATCAAGACCGTAAGGCGTGTTTGTTTAAAAAGGTTCGCCGTGAATGGCGACCATCCTCCCCCGTTTGGCGGTGTTCCTCCTAGCAACAGCGTATAGGTGTTCCAGCGTAGGTGTTCGCCGGTAAGGTAATGCCATGCCGCGTCCCACCACTGCCATAGTTGAGCAACCACTGGACATTCTAACAAGCAATGTTCCAAGGTTGCCCTTCTCCTGGGGTGGGCGTGGGTACAGTAAGCACACAGTGGTGACAATATTCCTCTTTTCTCGAAGTCTGATCTGTCACAGATCCAGTCTGGTGTCGGCAAACAGCGGTGGATGATCTGCCACTGTAGTGCCCAGTGATTGGAGGGCTTGATGTGGGAGTAATTTGGCCATTTGAACAATCAGAATTTGTGACTCTTAAAGAGTGAATCCCTCTCCCATCTTGGACGCTGGACCCGGTTTCCAGCAGGTGATGCTCCCCACCAATAGATGGAGCGGCTTCCAGCAGGTGATGCTCCCCACCAATAGATGGAGCGGCTTCCAGCAGGTGATGCT